GTCAACAACAACTGTGACGGTTTCTGCCATCTCTGCAAACAGATTTTCCCCAGCTATTTTTTCTTTTTTCTTTCTGATTCTGATTGAATGCTCTGGGCTCAAAAACCACCCTCCTATTACAAATGAGGTGGTAGAAAATGTCTGTCATCTGTTAAACTTGTAGGGTTATGCATCCACATAATTAATCTTCTTTGGTTGACCTGGTCCAAGACCCACAGTCAGATCCTGCAGTCCATTTCTGTTCATCCTTCTGTATACAGAGCAGTACTTTCCTTCAATCGACGTGTGCCTTTTCCTACAGTTGTTTTTCAGTATCAATTGCATTTTGAGTCCAATTTAGGATGTGAATGCTTGTCTTCACATTTGTGTCTGAAAATGTTGGGAAGGTCAAAACTTTCAGGTGGCTGCAGCTAGCATATGAGGAATGTGAAGGTTGGAGTTATTCTCTGAGTGAGCTGAAAAGGATACCAGAGACAAAATTAAATTCACTGTGGTGAGAAATTTACATTAAAAGGAAGAGAGACCTGAGAACTGACTCCTTGCTCTTAAATGACCTGATCAGGCTCTCTGGGGTGGAAATACTGCATGCCAATACAGTACAAGTGAGGAAAATATATTTTAGGGAAGTCTAGAACATATGACGTGAGAAAAGGATGATGTGAATTGTCTTGTTCAAACCTCCAGAAGAGAAGGTGAGCAGCAGATCATAATACTGTCTTAAACTTCCTAATGAGACTGGGGAGAGAAGACAAGAAGGGATTCTTCCTTAAGCAAGCTGAGATAGGAAAAGAATCAACAACCACAATTTGCAATACAAGAGATCCCTGTTTGATACTGGGAAAGAAAATTTCACAAGAGTGGTCAAGTGCTGAAAGAAGTTGCCCAGGGAAGTGGCATCTCCATCCTGGGAGATGTGACTCCCTTTCCAGCTAAACCTGGACTGGAAAGGGTGTTGAAAAACCTGAGCAAATCTAATGTACTCTTAGCAAGAGATTGGACCAGATTGCTTTGAAAAGTCCCTTCCAAATGAAATAGTTCTGAGAATCTATAGCTCTTACTCGGTCAGTGAAATATTAGGATAAAGTGGGTACATTACTGTTTGTGCAGGTGAAGTCTAAAGGAAGAAGAATGTTTGGAGATAACATTTAATTTATATAGATTTCTTAAAATTTAATTGTCAGTGCTGTGATTTTGAGAGGCTCTACAGGCTGTCTCCTTTCTCCTCTTTTTTCTTGAGGATGTGTGCCATTAACACTATACATAAGCACATCTGTTTGAGATTGATAGCTCAAAATTGAGCCTTTGTGCTCAGGAATTCTTAAAGGACTGAACTGAATGTCACTGGTGCACCCACTGAGCACAGCCAGATGCAGGCTTTGGAAGATAGTCTCAAATGGAAAACCTGGGAGATAGAGTACACATTAGGATATTTTATGTATTCTGTTCTAATTATATTCTCCTACTCAGAAAGATTACAGAAAGAAAAAAAAAACATTGCATTCTCTTAATAAAAGATTAAGAAGAACATGGGAGAATGGGCAACTACACACTGCTTTCTGCAATCATACAATGTCCTGTGATGTGTAGCATTTCTAAAAATGGAGAAATGCCGAGATGTTCAGATTGACATTTCAGTGCCTGTCTGCATTCAGTGTCTGTCTGAAATATAAGGTTCAATAATCCTATTATGTGTGTCTGACACACTCCTCCTTCTTTAGCAAAGTGCCTCCCATAGCTGCTATAATAAGACAGAACAGCGAAAGCCTCATACTCTGTGCCTCATCCTATCATTCACCAAAGCTATATCGTCATCAGATGCAATCTATTGTTTTCTTTCCTGCTGTGTGCTATTGATTTTTCTAACCTTTCCTAATGTTAAATTCGTTTGGCTTTTTAACTTTCTTACCAAAGGTTAAGGTTATTAAGTTGAGCAGGTATCTATAAAACTACAAGTGTTATTGCTTATCTTCCCATTGTTACACTGTCCTTTCATTAAACTCTGACTGCATTGGATAGCTCTGTCTTGAAGACTTTTGTCATTCCAGAATAATGCAGTGAAGGTTGAAAGGAACTGCATTACAATTGTCATCCAATTCTGTGGCATAAAATATTGGACTTTATATGTCAGGAGCAACAGATTTATCTGAGGCTCTTATACCATCAGTGAACATGAACTGCACAGACTTAATTTCAGCAAGTCTGTAAAGAGGATACAGGACAATTCCAGTTCTGCTGCTTGTTCTCTCCCCCAGTTCAGTCTGATGATGCCAGTCTCTTTGACATTGTGGCAAAAGGAGCAGTACTAAAATCTCTGCCAATTCTACAACTGGTTATCTGTTTAATGTGGAAAGAGAATGAGAAATCACAGTTTAATTTGAAGAAAGTGGTGGCTTTAATGGTAGCACTCTATCAGCATTTTTTTGATATGATCTACAGCAGTACTTGTATAATGCATTAAAGGTATAGGCAGTGAGAAACAGTTCCAAGCACTTAAAAGGCCCAGTACCCTCTTACAGTACTCACAGGTACAGTAAGCTGCCTTTAATGAGCTGTGCATTTGACACCCCGTTCACATATTTATATTGCATTCCAGTGATATGTGTTTGAAGCCTTTTATTGTGAATTTGCACAGAAGACACTAGCAGGGCTGAATATACATTGTCTGTGCATGGTGCATCACAGCTTTCTCCTGGAACTGAATGACCTTCAGTACTCTCCAATCACCATGCTAATGTTATCTTGCCTTGGTAGTACCTTGCAGTACCTCTAGAATAATTTTTTTGTCAAAAAACATCCTGAGAAGCTAGGCAAGAATTAAACTCAAGATAAATGTTTCTAGTAGTAGCATAAAATAATAAATTATCATCTAAGCCATTGGAGACCATCATTAAAAGGAGAAAAACATAAAAATAAAAACTAAAACAGCTCTGACACACTGATATTCCCTGTGTGGAAAGTAGAATTGCGTACCTTCTGATGACAAACCTGCCTGTTCAAGATCAGGCTTGTTAATGACTGCAGGAAGGAGTGTTTTGAAGTGCTGAGGGAGAGTGGGGGTTAAATTTTTCATTCATAATTGGTATCTGTAAACCGCTTACTTCTGCCAATGCTGTGAAGCCAAGGAATGGCCATGGCAAAAGATAAAAGGCTTGACTTCTCTACTGCTAATTTAAGAGCTGGCAACTGAGGTTGTGTCCTCTCCCATACTCAGCAGTAGCTGTCCCTACCACTGATTTAGTCTTCATCTGTCATGTTCTCAAGCTGCTCAGAGGCTATCTGAGAAATACTGAGGTCCTGTCTGTTCATGGTTTCTCACAGCTTGGTCTCTTTTCCCACTATCAGTGCTGATACCAAGACTGTCTGAGAGCACCCCATCCTTAGTGAATGAAACACCTTTTCATTTAGAGTGGCTTTGATAAAAAAGGTCCCTTCAGTAGTTTTCAGTTCTGACTGAGATTTTCTGAGTGGGACTGAACAACCCTATACCTTTCCTGGACTCCCTGGGTGTCTCTGGCTTGTGTTGCCAAACTCACATGTTCATTACAGGCTCCAGATGGCCTGTGTCTCTTCTCCTCCTGCCAGTTTTACGTTTTGGCCTTTTCTAGAAAAGAGTGGAGATATGGCAGCTCTTCAAAGAGTTTTGTGCTGAGCACTGAGTGCAGAATACAACTACCTTTTCTCTCACTGCCTTGCAGAGGAAGCAGCATCACTTCTGCAGTGGAGGCTTACATATGCTGCTGCAGCTGCATGATGCTTCATTTTGGCAAGCCTATTATTACTACTTGAAAAAATATTTAGAGCAATATCAGGTCTCATAAAGGCTGATACTTTTGACCAGTTTACTTTCAGAAGTTTTTGAGAAGTGTAATAGAAAACCTCTTATTATCTTCTTGCTTTTCTCTTCTACTTTATCCAAATACCCCACTGCCTGATGACTTTATTTACTTTTATATGCATTCTGACTGTGTGGAGAAGCATTTCAGTGGTAGTGTATGTCTTCCTATTGGAGGCTTGTTACTTTGTTGCACGCAATTCACAAAACTCCATGTCTTCACTAATCTGGGAAATTTTGTCTTCTGTACCTTTATTTTTACCATCAAGGTAAAGGCAACTTTAACACTTTTATGTTGGCTTTGTTGTTCAGGGTATTTTTCTGATGTAACAGAGTAATGTACTTTATACACAGAGGCACTCCTACAAAGATTCTGTATTCTGAATGTTTTTCTCTTATCAGTTGTTATTGTGTATAGCAGAAACATAAAATATGTCAAGTAAGACAAAGCTGGGAGGCTTTTAAGGGGACCTTGAAGTGGTAGGAGAGGGAACTTCTAAATCCAATGTGTATGATTCTTATTTTAATTCTCAATGCTGTATTGGGTATTTTTTATTATTTATACCTCTTTGAATACTGAGTTTATGTGGTAGATGCACTTCATTTTTCCTTACTCAGCTTTTTATCAAAGGCTTAGAAATTGCTTTAGCTATCAGGAATTCTGACTTCCTGCTCTTCTCTAACATGTTCTCAGCCATAATACTCCAGTGCAAGGAAATTGTTGTTGAATCACTGCAAATTAACTGCAGTACAGCTGCACTGTTTGTGGGATGCTTGAACACCTTTGTATGCTCACATTTATACAGGTTTGAATGTATGTAGCAGAGACATAGTAAGTGCAGCACCAGAGAGGACAGTCATTTTCCTGAAAATTAGTGATGACCCAGGGCTTGTCCATCCAGCAGAGCATTGTAAAACATGCTTATCCAAACTCACAGATGTACTCAATGAGCTTTGAATCCTGGACCTTTCAAACTGCTGATTCATAGTAACTAGTTCAGCTGTCTTTGGACTATGTAAGGGTCTTTTACTTAATTCTGAACCTCCATGCAGAGACTGAGTGGTTGTCTGCAGTTAATTTCATCAGGGATGTCATTAGTTCTCAAAATTGAAAAATTACTGACTTTTTCTTTTTTCCTCTCTCTCTGTTTTGTTGCTTCTTCACTAGGGATGTGAGTTAATTGAGACCATGGATCAGGACCTCACAGATTTCACCAAGTGCCTTCAAATACTCCAGAAGAAGATAGAGAAGAAGGGCCTCCAGGTAAATACAACGCATCCTTTTTCTTCTCTGCATCTTAGTAATTACTCTTTTTCTCACTGTATTTAGGTTTATCTTTCAAGTTTGCACTGAAATGAAACTATTTTCAGTAGCTTTGATATTCCACAGTTTTGCCATAATTTACTGCACACCTTGTAAGCATTGATGCTTCTGCTAAAAAGAATTACAAAGTGTGTCGATGAACAAGTGTTAACTTTCTTAAAAGGCAGCTTGTATTGATTTCTGTTAATGAACTACCCAAAGTGCAGAAGCCTGTTGTGGCTGGTGTTCAAATCAAGAGTCCCACTTTGGCATGTAAATACATTTTCAAGTCTTGGCACACTAAGCCTTGATATTCATCCCCTTTCTCTCCCCTTTCAAAGGTGACATGGAGAGGGGAAATCTTATCCTACCAACATTACAAATGGTAAGCAATACCTCCTTCTGCAAAATGTCCCCCTGAATCAAAGACAGACTTTGAAGAGCAACTAGTGTATTAAACTTAAAATAAGCCATATGTAGTTGTCCAGCCCTTTTCATTGGAAAGGCAAGGGAGGCAACATTCCCCCTCCCCTTCCACAGTTTAATTTCATAGGCCTGCTTGTTTTGTCTCTGAGATGCACAGTTAAATTTCCTTGGGAACTGCAAATGTGATGAGTCGGTGGCAAATGCACTCTTGGGATTGCTGCTCTTTCCTCCTCATGGAACAGTCATTCATAAGAGCTGACCTCTCTTCTGTTCTTCATGTATGAGTGAAAAGAGGGAGCAGCTGCTGCATCCTTTACCCACAGTGAGAAGAAGAGGCATGTAAGGAAATTAATATCACAACATGGAAAGGGACGTATAAACCTCTTCCCATTTTCATTGTTGCAGCATAAATTGCCTGATTTCCAGAGATCACCATACTCCAACAAAGCAGCAAGGGATTGAAATGCCAATGCACTTCTCTCCTTCCCTCCTCACTTCAGGCTGACTAAAAATTCACCATTTTTTGCTTAAGTTGTTTTAAAACTTCTTGTTCTTCTAAAGACAATAAATACCCATGGGGCACTTTGGAGTGCTGTCCCACAATGCCCATCTGCAGCTGCATCTCAATACAATGCTGTTGATCATCAGGGGTTTTTTTCCCCATCAGTATAGACAGAGATGGCATGGTTTCACTATACACTTCTCTTACTGTCTGGCTGTGAGCCAGGAAACTCTTTATAAAACAGTTTATTTTCTCTTCCCCTATAATTTATCATCAGAAGATCTCAGAGGAGTGCCCTTCCATCTAGGATAGAAATAGTAATGAGTGCCATTGGAGCAGATGAGCCACCTATGCCTAGGATTTGTTTTGAATGTGGCAAGTAAAGTGCTTTCCTCTTAATAGAAATGTCCTTACAATGAAGAAGAACTTAAATGTTTCCTGGATTGAGTTCACTTTCCAATGCCAAGTATTGCTTGAGAAGGAATGTTTTAAGCTATTACAAGAGGTTTTATGATGAATAGTCAATGTGTAGTTAAAATAAGAGCAATGGGAACATGACAGTTACAGAAGGTGTGTTTAAACAATAAGTAGTCTATTTGTAAAAGTTTGAGTCCTGTGGTCACTCTCACAGTAAAGCCGTGTTAAGTTGGCTAAAGGAGACCACATTGTAATCTTTGAGGATGTTTTGTAAAGTTCCAGCCTGAGTGTAATTGCAGTAATTGTGTAGTGTTCATGCCAATGCGCTAAACCTACGATTTCAGTTGAGTTAAAACTGTGTGCTGTTACATGTAAGACATGTGCTTTAAATACAGTCTGAGTTTTTCAGAGATGCAAGAAGTAACACAAATAAATTTTCTGAAACTAAGTACCATGTTCATTAAATACTAGCTACTTCTTGCTTGCTGTGCCTGTTCCATAAAACATAATAAGATGCTATCTTATTCATGCACACTAGATAAAGCATAATGCATTTCTACTTGTGGTCCTCTGCATTCTCTGACTAAGGAATTTGAAGAAGTCATTGACTCCCCTTAGGGAGATAAAATGTGAAACTTAAGCAAATGTAAGACAAAACTGTATCACAAGTCTATAAATAAATAGTTCCGTTTCTAGTTTTCCCTTTGTTCAGAAGCACTGGATATAATTCTTTAGTAGGAGGTTTGGTGATTCTTCAGAATCTCCTGATAATGCAGATAGTAGCTTGATGTCTGGTCCCCAAATGTCACAGACATTCTAAGCTCTTACAAAATACGCTGGCCTCAGTTTATGGATGCAACCTCTTGGCTCTTCTGATACCTAAATTTGCACTTAATTTAGGTTTCTTTATGGTAACATTCTGCCATAAAAAATGTCAAGTGGTAAGACAACAGACTGTCCCAGCTATAGACCTAATACCTTTGAGGAGAAAGCAAATTTTTTCAGTGAAGAAAGATGCTGTAGAATTCTGTGGTCACCTGAGAGGTACACATAGCTGAGAAGAAAAGGAAGTTTGGGTTCTGAAAGTTAAAAGGGAATAAAGAAGGGGTCCTTCATCTGCATTTGTATTTTTTGACCTCAAGGACAAACTTGTGTGTCACAAAGTAGAGTTCTTTTCCTACTTGTAAAGAATCATAACAGCTTTCCTTTTAACTGAGAGTATTAACTAGGTGGAATATGTCTTCCTGATGCCAGAAAAAATATGTTTGTCTCCAATTTTGATTTTTCCCTGCTCTATCTAAAGCATTTGTCAAAGAGGAATAAGACAAAGAGACACTACAAATTTGTTTTCCTGTGATTTATAGTTGAAGTTACAAAACAAGGAAAGTATCTCTTTAGTATCTTTAAAAAATTGATGCCACAGTCATGCTGTGTTTGCTGCTATTTCTGGGTAGCAATATGTTAAGCTGGGAAGTTAATTGCATTCAGTGTATAGCATGGATCCACAATCCCGTGAGGTAGCTTGTCTGGATGAAATTCAAGTGAGAGCAGCTGAAGTATTTAAAACAGGCATCCCTCCATTAGTCAGAGAATAAGTTAGCATTTATCTGCAATACTGAATGGATAAAATTTCTGCTCTGATTTATCAGTCACCTCTATGGAAGTTCTATGTCATGGAGGTTTTTGAGCTCATTTGAACATATGTTGGCAATATTTTGTTCCAAAGGGATTAAGTTTGTGTAATTTATTTTCCATACCGCTGCACATTTATCCTGCTCTGTTTCTTTCTTCCTGCTCATCCAAACAGCTTTTGAACAAATAACTTGAATAGAGGGATACCATGTCAAACAGCTTTCTTGGAGGTCAGCTGAGTGAGAATGTAGGTGAGGTAGGCACTCAGTGCCCCTGCTTGTAAAGAAGGATGCAAAAAAAAAAAGTTATCTTAGATTTTTGTCTTAGATTTAGGTAGTTAGTTGGAGAAGAACCTTAGAAATCTCTTTTCCACAAAGAAATATGCAGCTAGAGTTGATGGTCAGCTGAGATACAAATCTGGGAGAAAAACCACCTTGTTAGTTCTTGAACTTCTTGTTCAATGTAAAGGGCAGGAATTCTGTCTTCTGGCATAATTAACCAAATTCATGACTCCTTTTTCCTTATTTTTCAAATAAACACTCTCAGAATAGTTTCTGAATCCTTAGGGTAATTAATTTCTGATTTACATTGCATATTTTGGTTGCATAGCTAAGTCATGCAGAAAGCAGCATTGCGGTCATTTTGTGATATCTAAGTCACTTAATTATATATGTATTTATAATTACATACAGCAGTGAATTTTAGAAAAATAAGTACCCTTTATATATGCAAGCTAGAATCAGTCTTAATCTCCCCCCTTCGCAGTCCTAATTCATTTGTGAATTGCATTCTATCAGATGGGTGAAGCAATGAAGTACCACCAAGAGAATCTGACTCCTGAAGTTTCTTTCCAACCTAAAGGCTGTTAGATATTTCTCTTTCTCTTTCTGCATGGCTGTGAGCATGCATGCACACACATGCACGTGCAAGTACAAGTATACAAATGCACACGTTTTCTGGCGGTGTTCCTTCCTGGCCCTAAGTGGTGCTTTTTAAATGTCTTAATAACTCTGTCTTTATTGCTGCTCTGTGTGTCTTTCACATTGTTTATGGTCTATTAGGTGTGCACATTTTGCTTTACTGCTTTAATCGCTATTTTATTCATTCTGTAGTTATGTGAGTACTTTCCTTTCTTCATTACAGGACCTTCAAATAAACTTATTTCTGTCTGGTACTACTTTCTGTTCTTAATTTTCTCTCAACATAAGCTGTTTCAAGAAACCAACTGAACTGGCAAAATGATAGGCAAGCTTACAGTATCTCTTATTTAGGGATCAACAGATCTTGCATTAGCAGTGTATGCCATTATCTTTGATTTGCAGATTGGAAAGCAGAAGTACAGAAGCGATTTGTCCACAGTCTACCAGCATGCTAATGGTGTAGTTGGGAATGATCCTCCAATTCCCAATATTCATCAAATGCTCTTTCAATAACAGCATCTCTGGTCTCACTCAGCTTGTAGCACCTCGTGCCAGTGAGAACTGAAAGTGTGTTTATCAATTTTGCAGCTCCAAGAAGAATACTCATAATATAAAGATAGATTTAAGCCATTATCTTTATCTCAGACTTACAAACTGTGCTTTCCTTAACTGTTTCATCTAAAATACCATTTAGTCTTAAAACTAAGCTGTGGGACTTTTCATTTAGCTTTATTATCTTTTCTGCTTAAAAAAAGCTAAAGCAGCTCATTTGGTTATATGGGGTGAAGATATAAAAAATTAGTTTTATTGAAACCTACATGCCTTTTAGTGGTGTAATGTTAGTCTGTTTAAATTGATAAAAGCACCAGTATCAATAAGGAAAAGGGAAAAATATCCAAACCAACTCTTCCTAAAAACCCTTGGCAATAAAGGGATACTCTACTAACATTTCCATTTTTAAATTACTCTTCAGAGGTTCAATCAGTCAGCAGTCTAGGGTATTCATTCTTTCAAGTGAATGCAAGCATTCTTCCCTTTGTACTTTTAAAAGTCAAATCAGTCTA